TAGGGAAAACACTCTTTGAGTGCTAAATAAATATTGCACTGTGCAGTGACCTTATGGGCACTTTCTTTGAGCACATCCAGCTGCCAAAGATTTTTTTTTTTTTAATGCATGTTTATTCATGTGGAGAGGATGGGAAATGCTATTGCTATACGTTTCATGCTGCTGGTCTCAAAGAAATCAAAACTGGGATCTCTCAGAAGAAGCTCTAGAACTAAACAGAGGTAAAGCAAAAGCCTATCTGCAATCACCGGATCCTAATTAACGGTTTTAAAAATGTTTTTTCACCACTAGCACTTTGTAGGTAGGTGCAGTTTTCCTGAGAGGGTCACACTGAGCTCTGCTGCAACATGCAAGCTTTATATGTTTCTATTTTTCTTGGCATTTGCAGAGTTTTTCCTTCTCTTCTCAGCACGAGGACTGAGTGACCTTAGCAATTGCCAGCAAGGGGACTCCATATGATGAAAGCAGGTGAAAGGGAAAATAAGGGCGGGAACTAGGTAAGGCCAATTCATACCTCGGAGGAGGCGTGGTCCTGTTCTGTACCTGGCTGTGGTCACAGTCTTGTGAAATTATAAAAGGGGAAGGCAGTTGTTTCTCAAGCAATCTGTTGCCAGGATCCTGTAGTGAGAAGGAAGGGAGGTGCTAGAAGAAATGCAGAGCAAGAAGTCTAGAGTGTCAGCTGCAAAAGGTATGGGACGCACTGGTGCCTCTGAGCCTCGGGAATACCACCAGCCCTTCTCCGTAGGTCCATTCGCTGGGCTGAGGGTTGCATGGTAGCTGCACTACCCTCCTCAGCAGGCTAGCTTAGAAGAAAGAAGCCATCATGTCCCAAGGAGGAGCAGCAGCACGCGAAGCTGCCAAGTCCCAGGACCAGGGATGGGCATGGATGGTCCTGCTCGCCGCAGTGCTGCTGCAGGGACTGACGCTGGGCTTCCCCTCCTGCATCGGTGTCTTCTTCACGGACCTCCAGCATGAGTTCCAGGCCAGCAATAGCGAGACGTCGTGGTTCCCGTCCATCATGGTGGCCGTGCTGCACGGAGGCGGTAAGTAATGGCCGCAGGGAATGCCCTCCACCACCTCCTGCGGTTGTGTTGCTGATGAGGGGCCATAACGAGGGCACTTCTAGCATTTCATTAAGGCAGACGGTGGAAGGGACCGGGAGGTCTGAGCAGACTGGCTGGTCAGCAGTGAACAGCATCTCCCAGCCACTTTGATCACACAGTCCAAAGCTACATGTCCACGCATACCAAGCTCCCTTTTGCCTCTCTAAGAGACAATCAAGGCCCTTGGTCAAAGAAGGTGAATCCCTTTCTCAGCCCAGCTTCTCCAGACAAGCGAGAACTTAATTATTTCTCATAGCAGCTCTTTGAATAAGCTGGCAGGTAGCGCTGGAGCTTCAGTGCTTTCTTGATTCTTCTGTCCACGAGAGCACATCTCCTTCCATGTGCCACATGACAACTGTGTTCTTCATGGCTGAAAAGATGCCAAAAGCCAAGCTCCTCCAGGCTGCTAGCTGAGGCAGAGTGTTAAAAGCAACTCCTTGGGCGGTGGCATAGAGTGCACACCCAAGCAGGCATCAGGGTGAACGTGAGCATAGCTGGATTAATGCAGAATGTGGGTCAGGCAGCACCCTCCAGGTGAAGGGGGGGGTGGAAGGAGGGTTGTGCTTTGCGGATAGCGGAGTGAATCACTGGTTGGTTGTTTTTTCCCCCAGAGAAAATGTGGGAGCTGCACAGGACAGATTCCCCAGATCCCCCACCCAGACTGATATTTCTGCATAGAAGAGAAAAACAAATCCCCAGCAGCTCGAGGACTTCCCAATGAGCAATCCACGTTGCTGCTGACCCCTCCACGTGCAGCTCCTGAGCTTATTTGATAAACAGACCTCCCAAACCCCACCTAGGCAAAAGAAGCAAAGTATCCAGTGATGCCCATGTATCTGAGCTGCTCTTTGAGTTCATACCTGCCCCCTTCCAACCCTGGTGAAAGGTGACAGTATAGTATGAAGAAAAAAACAGAGCCCTGAGTCATGCTGATGCGAAGGCTGCAGCGGGTTCGGTCTCTCCTGTGCAGGACTTGGCTGACAGCCACCTGACATGGGAGAGAGAGTTGGCATGTATGGCTTTTGCTGCAACTTCTGATCTCCTTTGCGGTGGGCCAGGCTCTGTTTGATTCAGGTTCTCCGGTTACATCCATCACCTTGGCACTTAAACCTTTTCCAAAATTGCATTCTGCTATGTCACCAGTGTCTCTTAAAGGTGCTTCTCTCTTTTCTTCTCCTTTATTCTTTTTAATTCAGAGGAACTGAAGGGGGAAAAAAAATATATTTGTTGCAAAAATTCGTGAACAGGAAGGTGGATGGACAGAGCAGCCCATCCTCAGAGTGGTCAGTGCAGTGAGAAGGTCCCACACAGGAGAGCTAACATCAGCTCAGCAGAGCTGTGGAAGGAAACGGGGAAGGGCACAGTGCAGACAATAGCTCATAACTTATTAAGCCACACATATCTCATTACCCTTGCTATGTTCTTAGGTAAGAGTGATTAATGCTTATTTTGTTATAAGAATCATTTGAGAAACCTCAGGATCCTATGGCTGTCTCCAAAAGGGGAAATGCAAGAGTTCAGGCTCTTACAGGTTCCTGCTCCTAGCTATTCATGCACACGTAACTCTCTGGATGGCACTCATACAAATGCAGCACTTTTTTTGGAAGTATTTTTGCAAAGGAAAGCACAAAAGCCCCAGGCAAGTGAGAAAAAATGTTTGAAACCTAGAAAGCAAGTTAACAGGGGCAAATAATGAAAAACCCTTAAGATTTTTAGAGCCGATCTCATTATTTTGGAGTGTTCAATTTACGACTTCTGGCCACTTGGGTTGGTTAAACAGCAGTACCATCC